ATCCTGTACCCCCTGTCCCAGTGCCCTGGCATACTCCAGACCCCACCTGTACCCTCCAGTGCCTGTCTCTGAAGGCAGAAGCAGGTATCACTGACAATCCCAGGTTCTTATCCTCGTTGTATGATGTGGGGCAAGTCACCTGACCCCTAGATGCCTCAGGGTCTTCGCATCTAATGTAAGATGTAATGCTCACCCCATAGATCTGCTGTGAAAACTAAATGAGGAGCCGAGTGCGATGGTAATCCCAGCAGCTTGGGAGGCCGAGGCAGGAAGATCGTGAGTTCAAAGCCAGCCTCAGCAACTTAGCAAAGCCCTAAGCAACTCTGCGAGACCCTGTCTCTAAGTAAGATATTTAAAAGTGCTAAGATGTGGCTCAGTGGTAAAGCACCCTTGAGTTTCAAATTGGTACCCATCCACCCCTGCCAAAAACAAAAACAAAGAACAAACACTAAATGAGGATGGACACAAACACAGGGGAAGTCCAGGGAGGAGTTGGCAGTGCTGCCCCTCTTCTTGGGTGTGGCCTACCACCCCTTCCTCCATCCACGGCTTTGCTCAAACTTTCTGGTGCTTCAACAGAGGATTCTCATTTGGGGAACTTTGAGGCATCTGGATCTGTCTGGAGAGACGATACAGAAGGGAAAGTCCACTGGAGTTGGCTAAAACATAGGCTCTGATAAATCTCTGGCCCTGGGCACATTTCTCAACTTGTTGAGGCTTCCACCATGAAATGAGGAGGTCAGAGTGGAAGATCTCAAGAACCTTGGCCTCAGTCCTCTGATGTTAAAGGTATTGAGAGGTCTGGCCTTGATCCCCAGGGTCTCAGGGTAAGTTTGCCTAATGCTACATATCAAGAGTCCGCAAAAGCACCAACTAAAATCCTGGGGCTCTTCCCTGCCATCTCTACTCAGTGGTTTGTAAATTTTAGCATGGAGCTGCTCTGAAGTGCTCATGATCAGAGCAGAGGCTCCACCTGCCTGATGGGGGAACCTCCACCTCACCCCACATGGCTCTGACTTGCCTACATAACCCTGGGCGCCACTGCCCACTGAGTTGTCTACAAAGTGTGGCTAAAAATTCAAAAAGTGGGCTGTTGTTTCTTTTTTACTTTTTTTTTTTTTTTTAAGACAAGGTCTTATTGAATTGCTTACCAAGTTGCTGACGCTAGATTCAAACTTGCAACCTCCTGCCTCAGCTTCCCAGACCCCTGGATTATAGGCGTGTGGCACCGCACCCAGCTTGGACTGTCATTTCTTCAGACAGACTCCCAACATGTTGATAAGCTTATTTATCAAAAGCAGGCTGTGATTGTGCAGGGAGAGATCGTTAGTAAGCAGGACCGGTGCCCTCAGCCTTCCCAACACACCCCCAAGCCAGCCAGTCCTGCCTACAGCACTCAGGCGCCCCTCACCAAGGCTGTCTGTGGTGACACCAAGAGCAGGAGGCTCATCCCCCGGGCCTGCCACTCAGCTTGGTGCCACCTCAGAATTCCTGTTCCAAGATTTACAAAATCAGGAGGATGTCGCCTTGATGACCCACTGTGAAGCTAAACAAGGCGATACACAGAACGTGTGGGGTTTGGGCCTAACATTGCCGTGGCTTCCTTCCTGAAAGTGAAAAAGCGGTGTAACTCCCAGGTGCTAACTTAACTTTAAACAGCTTTATTGAAATATAATGCACATAGCGTAAAATGCATCCAGTTAAAGTACACAACTCAACAGTGGGTTTTGGTAGTTTCACAGAGGTGTGCAAACGTCACCACAGCCAATTTCAAAACATCTCCAGACACCCCCCATCTAGAGCGACCAGCTGCATTTGCTGCGGCCCCCCGCTCGCCAGCCTAAGCGCCTAACAGGACACTTGCTGTCTGCAGACGCGTCTCTCCTGGAGTTTATATAAATGAGATCACTGCTGTCTCTCACGGTGGCACTCTTCCACCTCCACGCCTCCGAGGCTGCCCTCGCTGCCACAGTGCTGGCACTTCCTCCTCCCATGGGACGTTTCATGGTGGGCCACGTTTTGCTCATCCTGTCATCCCCAGTGGACATCGGGGCTTCCGGCTTTGGGGAATGATGCTGCCATGAATAGTTTTTCTAGACAGTTTTCACACACACACCCAGGAAATATGTGTCAAGTGGTGCTGGTGGGTCACGAGGTGACTGCATGTCCTTCTAAGGAGCCATCAGACCCTCTGCTGAAGTAGCTGCACCATTCTGCATTCCCACCAGTGGGGAGGAGCCTCCAATTCCCCACCTCTTGGACAACACTATTGCTATCTATCATTTTGATTATGGCCAGAAATAAATTCACATGCAGCCTAATATTAAAACTATACAGAAAGAAGGAAATTAAAGTTATAAAAATGATGAAGACAGAAATGCCCTCTGGAAGGTGGAGGGTGACCAGCATCTGGGAGCCGATGGCTGCTGCCGGGGGGACACAGGCATGGTGTGTGTGCTGGCTTTGTGATGTTCAGGGCCTGGTGCTGGGTATGGGGGTCACTGGCTGGGCTGTAGAAAAGGGCACCAGGCCTCCTCCTTCCCTCCTAATGCTCTTGTTCCCTTGAGTTCACATGTGACCTTCTGGATCCTAAAGGGAAGTTCTTTCCCAAGTAACCCAACCTGTGGCACTCGTGACAAAGCTCCTAAGTTCAGCAGTCAACCCATCAACAGTATGGGTCCTGCTCTACCTTCCCCCTGGGCAAAACCTGCGGCCCAACGTTCATCTGTCACACAGGACATGGTTGCTGTCCACCAACGGAGGAACTAAGGTAACTTCCCTTCTTCTGTACCTTGGCAGCCCTCAGAGCAGTGCCCAGTGCTTCAGCGAGAAAGCCGTTTTCCCAGAACTGTACTCCAACTTCCTAAAGGTCATTGCCAGTCCCCACCTTCACACAGAAGCACTTATAGCCCCCCGCCTGAGGAGGGCCACAGCTAATTTTAGCTGAAAGATTATAAGACGAATGCCTGGAATCACCCAGAATTTTCTGGTGTCTGTCCCCTCAGGCCGGGTGAGCAGTGGAGTTTTACCACCCACCAACTCAGCAACCCAACACCAGCAAGGGGTGGAGTGCTTGGGAACCTCATGCCTGCCTAAGGCACCTGCAAAGAGAAAACCAAAAATGAAGAAAAATTATAGGGAGGTTGGTGGAGGGGTCGGGGGCCACTGGGTAAAGAGCACCTCCCACTCTCTGCGGGGAGAGAGGCTTGTGCCTTGATCACGGTGTTTTTTTGTTTTTTTTTTAATTTACAGTTGGACACAATTATTTATTTATTTATTTGTGGTGCTGAGGATCGAACCCAGGGCTCTGCACCGTCTAGGTGAGCACTCTACCGCTGAGCTACAACCCCAGTGGGAGAGGGGGGGCAGAGAGGGTTCCCCTGGATCCAGTGGTTTTACCTTGTGGACCACAGATCACCCCACAGAGGCCAGAGTACTTGACAGACGTCTGCGATTTCATATATATGCCAAGCACTGCCTTCAAGATAAAAGTCTTATGCTACCATTCTTCAAATAAATGTAGATCAGTTGTAGCTGATAAAAAGTATCTTTCAATTATAAATGTGTCTGAGAAGTTGCTTTTTGTCATTGTATGTTTCTTTTCCTAATGACCGAGCAAATAATTACCAAGCATTATTCGCAAAGTTTTTAAGCTTCAGGAGGGCTTTCACTTTGAAAGGTATAAAGGAAGTGATGTATTAGGTCCAAAAGATCCCCCAGTAGTGACAGAAGAAGAAATTCTGGAATAACACGGGAGTCAGCAAACTACAGCCCACTGCCCGTCTTTCTAAATAGTTTTCTAGGAGCACAGTCATGCAATTTGCTTACACATTGATCTAAATCTGCTTTGCAGTAGAGTTGAGACTAGGACTGTATGAGCCTGAACTTAAAATGTTTACCATTTTGCCCACTAAAGAGGGAGTGTTCTGACCCCCAGTACAGTGGATCATGGAATATACCACAGCCATTACAAAACAAAATTAACACAAACTGTATACGCAAACAGGGATAGGTTCAAAACGGAATCCTGAAAATGTTGACCTCCGAGGAGGAAGCCATTCACTTGGTTTTGCCGAGTTCCACAGGAGAAGGAATTGGCACTCTGGAAAAGGAACACTGGAGGGAAGAGAACAGGACTCTGAGTGCAGTGTCTGCTGGGGCATCCCCTGCACAGGCCACGGCACACCTCTGTGAGTCCTGGCTCTCCGACTGACACTGGAAGGCCCATAAGGCCAAAGACAAAGGCCCTTCTCCCTGCCCTGGACCTAAAAGATATTAAAAAATAAAACCAAAAGTAAGGATAGGGGCCAACTGTCCCCCATTGAGCCCCAGGATCAAGTAGACACCCCACTGAGGCACAGCTACACAGCAGCTCCCCTGGTGAAGGCCTGCCCAGGAGAGATGGCGAGGAAGACAGACAGCCGCAGGCCAGCCAGGCATCCTCCCGATTACTCCCAGTAAGCCTGCCTCAGTCATCAGGGGCCAGGAGCAGTGGGGGGGTCTGTCCTCCTGGAGACCCTGCATGCCCCCAGGAAGGCTTCTCAACACCCATTGGGTGCTTCCACACACAGAAGGCCTGAGGAACCCTGGCTGGGACCCACGGCTGCTTCGCACCCCCACACCCGCCACCAACTTGCCCCTTAACCCGATGGTATCAGAACATCTTAAAAGCACAACTTCTTGGCCTCTTCCCTCTGCTGAGTCAGAACAAAGCAGGACACACAGTGACGGACCACACACAGAGCCGGAGTCTGGGCTGGCTCCAGCTCCCTCAGGCCCTCCCCGCCCTCTTCCCTTGGCACTGCTGTTTATTTTGTAGTGGATGAGAGGTGCCACTCAGATGGCGGATATGTCTTCACTCCCAGCTCCCAGAATCTTCTGCCCCTGCTCCACACCCCAGGAGCAGCCACCTGAACACCTGATCTTAAAAGCTCAGTGTTTACAGGGGAAGGACTAAGGGCATGGGCTAGAATACAAACCACTCAGAGACTGCAAACAGCTGAGATAAAATCCGTTTAATCCAATTTAGTTTAAAAATGCTTAAGTCACACCCACCACAGGAGGTGACCCCAGGCGTTCGGGGGAGGCCAGGTAAGTGGTGTGCACGCTGGCGAGGGTCTCAGCGGAGGCCTGGAGGACCTTCAGCTCTTCCCGCCACAGTGTTTCCACCAAAGCCAGCTGGCTTACCAAAGACACCTCTTCATCCTTCATGTGAGAAACCTGAAAGTGAGTTTTAAATTATTTTTTACTGTAGTAAAATAGAACATAAAATTTGCCACTTTAGCCATTTTAGGCGTATAGTTCAGTGGCACTGCGTGATTTCCTCTCCGACTCTCTGCCACCCCAGACATATCCTGTGACTACACATTAGCATCCTTAGTCCTTGCTCCCAAAAGCCCCTGGTAACCTGCACTCTACTCTGTCACTCTGGATTTGCCTGTTCTGAATACCTTATGGAAGTAGAATCTACATATATCCTTTTGTGTCTGACTTTTTTCAGTTAGCATAATGTCTTCAAGGTTCCTTAAAATTACTTTTTATAATCCCAGTCACATTTTCATATAAATGAGCTGATTTCTCATTTACTTAAAATACTAAGTTAAAACATAAAAGAAAACCTATTAGTAAGAAATCATAGGGCTGGGGATGTGGCTCAAGCGGTAGCGCGCTCGCCTGGCATGCGTGCGGCCCGGGTTCGATCCTCAGCACCACATACAAACAAAGATGTTGTGCCTGCCGAAAAAACTAAAAATAAATAAATAAATATTTAAAAAAAAAAAAAAAAAAAAAAAAAAGAAATCATGTGATCAATTTTTACCTATTTAAATGTACAGGCATAGACACTGAATCTGTCTGAGTGCCCATTACAGACAAATGGATAAAGAAAACATGGAGTATGTACACAATGGAATACTATTCAGTCTTAAAAAAAGGTGCATATCCTGGGGGCTAGAGTTGTAGCTCGGCAGTAGAGCACGTGCCTTGGACACGTGGCACTGTGTTTGATTCCCAGCACCACATATAAATAAGCAAATAAAACAAGGACTATCAATAACTAAAAAAAAACTTTTTAAAGGTGGATATCCTGTCATTTGTGACAACGCAGACAAACATTACACTAAATGAAAGACATTATGTTAAATGAAATAAGCCAAGAATAGAAAGACAAAATTATAAGTTCTTGTTTATATGTGGATAGAAAAAAGTTGAACACAGAAAAAGAGCAGAATGGTGTCAGAAGATGCTAGAAGTGAGGGACAGGGGAGACACTGGTCAAGGGATACAACACCCAAGCTAAACAAGAGTAGGCTCCAGAGACCTTCAAAGTCACCTAGCAAAGATCAGAGATCTACTGTACAGCATGCTGACTGCAGTTACTAACAGTATGCATCCTTGAAAATTGCTAAGAAAGGCTGGGGATGTGGCTCAAGTGGTAGCGTGCTCGCCTGGCATGCATGCGGCCCGGGTTCGATCCTCAGCACCACATACAAAAATGTTGTGCCTGCCAAAAACTGAAAAATAAATATTAAAAAAATTCTCTCTCCCTCTCTCTCTCTCTTAAAAAAAGAAAAAGAAAATTGCTAAAAAATTAAATTTTAAAGAGTCTCACAACCAAAAAAAGATATGAGATGATGTATATGTTAAATAGCTTGATTAAGGCATTCCTATATGTATATGTATAATATATATAAGAATATCTCAAAACATCATGTAGTATAACATAAATATATGCAATTTTTAATCTGTCAATTAAAAGGGAAAATTTTAAAGGCGTAGGTACAAAATCAACAGTAAAATCTAGCATTTACAACATTTTTTTAAATACTTATTTTTTAGTTGTAGTTGGACATAATATCTTTATTTTATTTATTTATATGCGGTGCTGAGGATCAAACCCAGGGCCTCGCATGTGCAAAAGGTGAGGGATCTACTGCTGAGCCACAACCCCAGCCCTAGAATTTACAACATTTAAGACATAAAATGTGCTCTTAAAAAGATCTGCTGTCGGGCTGGGATTGTAGTTCAGTGGTAGAGCCTAGCACACATGAGGCACTGGGTTTGATCCTCAACACCACATTAAAAAAAAAAAAAGAAAGAAAGATATTGTGTCCACCCACAACTAAAAAATAAATGTTTTTTTTTAAAAAAAGATCTACTGTCTTTAATAACATGTATAAAACAAATAACTTCACAGTCACAATGCTTAAGACGTACCCTCTGAAGCATAGCAGAACTCTCCTCTAGGAGATGATGGCATATTTTCTGGGCTACATCCAAACTTGTCTTCTCATTTGCATATGAAATTACTTCTCCAAGAAGAACTTTTTTCCAGCACGTACTAGAACCAAAATGTTCAATAAAGTAATTTCAGCAGGCTCTTGAGAAATAAAGAGCTTTCACACTGCAAACAACAAAGTCCCCTCCGATTCTTCCAAAGCATAATTAAACTCCTTCTATAAGCAGCTTCCCTAAAACCTTCACACCATGGGCAGTTCCCGTGTGGAAGCAACAAGGTGCACAAAAAGGAGCAGCCAAAAAGAAAAGGCAGGGGGACTGTGTGCTCCTTGCTGGCTGCAAGCAGATGTTACCATCATCACAACCCTGTGTCTGGGACACGGTAAGTGGAGTCGTGCCCACCAGCCAAGGGAATAAAGCAGGAGACAGAGGAGGAAGGGAGAGACAGGACAGGGAGCCAGGTCTACAGCAGAAAGGCCAGAGGACTTGGGAGCTAAGGCACTGGAGTCGTCCTACTCTTCAAGTGACAGTCTTTCTTGCCGGGTGACAACTTGGAACGCACTTCACAAAGCAAAATGCTCAACAGGTGCAGCCACAGCTTTCTTTACGTGAAAGCCACTCTGCTTAGACACTATGCAGGTCTGCAGGAGTGGAGCTCGGTGGGCAGGTGGGGCTGACTTTCTGAAGGCAGAAGAGTGTAGGTGAGCTAGGGCAGGACACTGAGCCGGAAGGGGGCAGAGCCAAGGCCACACGTGAGGAAGGAGCACCATCAGGGAGAGAGGGGGTGGAGGGGCTGACTGGGAAGCAGAGATTCTGGAGAATCGGCTGACAAGATTCCACTGGCACGCTCAACGTGCAAGTGGACGTAGACACAGCCAGCTAGAAACTCAGAACAGCAACAAGACCCGACAGGGAAGAGTCGTGACGTCTGCAGAGTCAAGAGACAAGGCTGCGCCTCGGGAACAGAGTGCTTGTGACAGAAAGCAGAAAATTACCATGTGCCTGGACAGTGTCCCATGCATGACCACTACCTAATGTAATCTTCACAATTACCTAACCCAAGGGAAGTGAGAACTGGGAAAGCTGCAGGCCTTGGCCGGACAGAACAAGAGGGTGGGAGGCGACCAGCTCGCAAACCCCCAACAGGCAGAAGCCCACCACCTGCTTTTCCTGCACCCGACCCAGAAGTGACTCTGAGGGAAGAAAAGAGGCCTAAGGATGACCTCTGGAAAATGTCCAGTTGCTTTAACTTTAGGCTGAAGTGCCTGAAAAGGTCTCATATCTGGCTTGTTCTGAGAAGGATTTAAAAACACTTGCGGGGCTGGGGATGTGGCTCAAGCGGTAGCACGCTCGCCTGGCATGCGTGCAGCCCGGGTTTGATCCTCAGCACCACATACAAAACAAAGAAGTTGTGTCCGCCAATAACTAAAAAATAAATATTAAAAAATAAAAAAATAAAAATAAAAACACTTGCATGGTGACAACTTGGAACGCACTTCACAAAGAAAAATGCTTTTGCATGGGTCTGCACAAAACAAAATAAATGTAAAACAAACGAATGGGAAGAACAAGTCAAAGGAAAAAATAAAGAGGAAAAATACAGTACAGTCAGGAATGAATCAGGATGCCTGTACATTTGGGAGGACCACAGATATTCCCAAGCTTTCTTTTATAATGAAAAGAAAGAAACATATCAGTAACAAAACACACCATCTGCTGAGAGTGAAAACACCTACAGCTGACCCTTGACCAACTCAGGAGCTGACAGTGCTGACACACAATTAAAAATCCACACATATATATTTTTTGGTACCAGGGATTGAACCCAGGGGCATTTAACCACTGAACTGTATCCCCAGCCCTTTTTAATTTTTATTTTGAGATAGGGTCTCTTTAAGTTGCTTAGAGCCTCACTAAGTTGTTGAGGCTGGCTTCAAACTTCTGATCCTCCTGACCCAACCTCCCAAGTTGCTGGGATTACAGGTGCCACTGTCCCAGCCACAGATAACTGCTGACTCCCCAAAAATTCAACTACTACTAACCTGCTGGTGACTGCAAGCCTTAACAATAATATAATCAATTAATACATATGTTGTGTGCTGTGTGTATCATATATGGCGGAAAACACACAAGGGCTGGGAAAAATGGCTTTTACTGTGATACAAAACTTACTGCAGAGACAAATGCTCAGGCAGAGATGATCAGCAGAATTTTAAGCAGACATTCCGAACACCACAACAGCAACAGGAGGGATACAAAGGTATTACAGTAACACAATATTCACTACACTGAATTTTATGCAGTTACAATTTAAAACTGCATCTTTCTGATATGTTTGTGCATAAATTTTGATAAAATTTAACTTTCTGTATATTTATGGTGGCAAATGATAAAATGGACTATTATCTATACATATTTGATGTTTTCATGACATAGCTAACTTTTTCTTAACTTTTAAAGTAGTTGTAGGCTATGCAGTTCATCTGCAAGGTTTTTCAAATTACTGCAAATTTCCAAAAAATTCCATGAATAAGGACCTGCACAGTGCAAATATGTGCTGCCCATGGTTGAGATCGTCTATTTCCCAAGTTCCTACAGGAAGAGAAGAAGGCAGCATCATGCACAGCAGGCAGCACTGAGTAGGCACCAACTACATCCAGCACCATGCTAAGAGCAATTTCTAAGCATTATTCATTTACTCCTCAGGCCTCACCTATTCAAGAAGTCCTCCAACCATGCTGAGCAGCAGCAAGATGAAGGCTGCTTCCCTGAGGAGACCCCAGGCTGCGGCAACCCTGTGCTGGGCAGAGCACACCCAAAGGTGCTGACAGGAGGCTGCTGCAAGTGGCACTGACAGCTTCACAGGAATGCGAGGGAGCCTGTCAGGGCTCCTCCACCTGTCTCCCCATGGAAAACCCCAGGGCTCTCCTTAACACAGCTTCTGGATCTGCCCTGGCAACTGACAGGCAGGGCTGTGTGAGGAGCTCTGCTGCTCCCAGGAAAAGCAGAACTACTCTGAGTCTTGATGCTGAATGGTGACACTGCTCACAAAAGCCATCAGGTCACCAGCAGAGAAACACAAGAGTTGAGAATGAAAACTTCCAGAGCCACGTACGTGATTATGACTCTAAAACCAGAAACGGTTGAAACGGTAAAATACGCCCTGGATGAGTCAGTTACATACAGAATGGCCTTTCTTTTTTCTCTGTTTGGGTATTTAAATAAAAGCCAACACCCCCAAATTGTGTCTAGGTTGTGACTACAACTTCAGACCAATACACGTGGAACTTACAATTTTTCAGCTTCCAGACATAACAACTTAAGAGCTGTGAGTAACCTCCAAGACGGCCCATCCCATCCAAATGTCAAATTTCTAAAGTAGAAAAACAAAGACATTTCTGTCATATCAGTATTTCATGACACCATGACAAATGGTTGATAAGCCAAACATTTTTTAGAGCATTTTTTAGAACATTGTTACCTATGATGTTGGTCAAAACAATACTTAAGAATAAATACTTAAAAGTACTTAAGAATAAAGTCTAAGAAACAAAAAATTCTCTTTTTAAATTTTTTAAAGAATAAAAAGCTGCCGGCATTCATCTGTAATCCCAGCAGCTCAGGAGGTTGAGGCAGGAGGATCGAAAGTTTGCAGCTAGTCTCAGCAATTTAGCTAAGCTGTGTAAGCAACTTATTGAGACCTTGTTTCAAAATAAAAAATAAAAAGGTCTAGGGATGTGGCTCAGTAGTTAAGCACCCCTGGATTTAATCCCTGGTACAAAAAGAGAGAGAGAGAGAGAGAGAGAGGGAGAATATAAAAAGCTATTCTTCCAATCACTTTTAGTAAGAAGCAAAACTTGGTTAAGAGATGCACAGGACAAAGTTCATAGTGATGAATGATGGAAGAATCTGGATGTTACCGCAGCCAGATAGCTCTCACTCAACTGCTATATGAGAGCTATCTTAATTTTAAACCTTAATTTTATTCTCAAAGAAAATTTGGAAGGGAGAACCTAAAGGCCTATCTACCCATGTAGTGTGGAACCACCAACCACCCCTTCCCCAGCGCCTGTACCATGATGCTGGTGACTGGTTCTCCTGAAGGCCATCCGGCCTTGCCACAAGGCAGAGGCAGGGGGCTCTCTTTTAATACAGTATTGAATAGTTCAAGTTTGTTTTTTATTTATTTATTTGATTCTTTTCTTTTTAGTTGTAGTTGGACGAAATACCTTTATTTTATTATTTATCTTTATCGAACCCAGGGCCGCACACATGCTAGGTGAGCGCTCTATCGCTGAGCCACAACCCCAGCCCCTCAAATAAGTTTCTTTAAAGTGTCTTAGTCCTGTGTCCTCTCCTCCACAACAGTGAGCACCACTTTTCTGCACATAGTAAGTGCTCAACTAACACCTACCAGTGAGCTGATGGAGTTAGGAGGTGTCTCACGAAAAATCCAACCCTCAATTTTTTCATGAAAACTTCCTAAAAGAGTAATTTCAAAAGGGAAAGGGAAACACTTACTCTATAAAGCCATGATCCTTTAGAATGGAAATCTTTTTGTTCATCTGTTTATCAGTTGACGGAAGATATTTAACAAGTGTATCTGCATTAAAAAAAAAAATTCATACAGAAATTTAGGGTATAATTCACACAAAAGTGTATCTTCCCTCTCCATCTGCACTTACTTTCCTTCCCATTAGGATCAAGTATAAACAGTTTTTCCTAAGTCACAAGAAGGAAATCTACTCTTCAAGTCCAATTCACTGAGATCATTATTTAGTCCCTGAAAAACTGTAAGAATTCCAAGGCCTCAGGACAAAACACCCACAAGCTGAGTTCATGTTCCCATTAAGTCAATCAATGAACAAAACCAGGTCATTAAGACAAGGTAATAACTTGGAAAACCACAACCAACAAAACACAGGCTCTGTAAAAACATGAGAGAAGTCTTGTAACAAGAGTGTTTAAAAGGCAGAATTCAAATAGCACAATAATGACTGTTGCAATTACCAAAAAAAAATGCAAATATGTAAAAATTGACAGTTATTTGGAGAATAGGACAGGGTAAGAAAGGTTTTTTTCTTTCTATGGTAGAAAGCATATATTAGGCAAGTGCTCTACTACTGGATTGTTCCCAAAGCACTTTCTTTATTTTTTAACAAAAATGTGATTTTTCTTCAAATTAATTTATTTGACAACTATCATTTCATAGCCATCAATATTAAAGTTATCAGGATTCTGAACCATGAGCCAACCTCAAAGCAAGTTTTCTAAGAGACTCTGCAAGGCCCAATTTTAGTTGTTTTATTTATATTTTGAGGAGTATTATTAGTCTGTGTAAAGGATGCATAGTATAACCTTGACCATTTCTATGTCCCTTTCAACTTACACATGATTACTTCAAATTATATACTGGGGAAATCTCTAGACATTTCTTCATGACCTCCAAACCACCACTACTATTTCAGAAGAAAAATAAAAATCAGCCTTCTAAGTACTATTTCAAATACTAAATTTGGAATTTTCACATCATAAATTTAATGACTAAATTATTATTTTAAAATATTATCATCAATGACAATGGCTAGTTAGCAGACCATAAAAGAACACAAGTGAAATCAATTTTTTTTAACCATGGCATTAATCTCCAAACATAGGATTACATATTACACTTATCTCTTTGATTAACACAGTATCTTAACATTTTCATTCCCTGCTTTCTAATCCTATCTTCAGTAACAAGGCTTCAGTACAAATATTTCCATTTCCTTCGATCTAATAATACTATGCTTATCTCCTTAGAAATCTTCCTTTCCTTTTGCATTGTCCAATATGGTGGCCACTAGTCAGAAATGGCTTTCAACCACTTGAGATGTGACTTGCCTTACTAAGAAATGAATTTTAAATATTCATTTAATTGTAAGCAATTTAAATTGAAACAGCTCCATGTACCCAGTGGTCCCTGTATGGACAGTGTAGGTCTAGGTTTCTTCCAGTTTAGACCTCTGACCTAGTGCAATAAAACTCTGCTCAGTTCTTATCCACTTTATCAACCAAAGCTTTGCTGTTTTGAGTTCAAAATTGAAACTGCACAGTTAGAAAGAATAGGGCTAGCTCTACCCAGGATAAAGTAAATGATGTGTAGGTATGTTTCAAGGCTTTACTATTTTTAATAAAACTCAAAATAACAACATATCCAAGTGGGACAAAAATTGTCTTAATAAGAAAAGCAAAATTGATTCCAACCTCTTGAGACATAAACACAAGCATGAGGATTGCAGGGGGAAACAAAGCCATACTCCAGCAGCAGCCGCTGGTTGTCGTGTGGGCCATAGCAGATGAATACCTCCTCGTGCTTTCTACAACCAGAAGCTGTTCTAATTTCATAACAACGAGTCTTCTCATTAAATGCTGCATTTACCTAGAATGGAAATTTGTTAGAGATTATTTTAAATATAAAACTAAAAAGCTGAGTTGTGGCCTCTGTCATAAGTTATTTTTGGGTAATCCTTTAAAACTGTACTAACCATTCTTAGAAGCTCAGGAACCCAGGCCACACACCCACAGGCCGCAGTTCGTGGTCTTCCTACAGTAGTCTGTAAAATCACTGCTTTGAAGCATAAATGCACCAAAAGCCCCATCAAAATAAAGTCATGCCAATGGATAGTGACTGAGTCCCTAAGTCCAGCATCCTACGGCACTGCACACCCTGGCATTATTCGTATATATCAACAGAAACACCCCTCTGACCCCTGACCCCTGTGGGTCACACTGTGGAAAAAGCATCTTTCTGTAACAGTAATAATCGGACAGGCCAGGCATTGTCCTGGGCCTAAGCAAGCACAGCAGGCCTTCCCAATCTCCTCTCACTGGCATCTGTGATGTTCTCGTGGACGCATGTCACATAAAGAGACGAGCACAAGCAGAGCCAGCCATGCGCCTGCACAGTGCATCCCTCGTGCACCCCTCACCCACAGGCAAGCCCACTGATGAACTCCTCTCCACCCTGAAAGTCAGCCCTTTACTTCAGCATACCCATTTACCCTGCAGACACATCCATCTCCCATACCTGCCACCAAGGGAAAGGGCAGGGAAAGAGGTATCTGTGACTCTGTGGCTATCTCCCAAAGCAGGATTCTTCATGATTTCCTGACTCCTCTCCCCACAAATATTCATCCATTTAATAAAAGTTTACCAAACATCTATTATATGCCAAACTCTGCCCTAAGCCCTGGGGTTCCAAAGAGAACAAAAAGTCCCCATCCACAAAGATTTTGGTGCTTAATGCAGGAAGGAGGAGTCCCTCAGTTATCAGAGCAAAGGTTAATGCTCTGACAGCCATGCCACCAAGTGCAAAAGGGATGGGACAGGAAAGAAGCTAGACCTCGGCCCCGGTCTAGAAGGAGCATGAAGGAAGGAGGACTCGAGCTGCTGGTAAAGGTAGCCTAGAGGATGGAGCCCGGGGCTCCTGAGGCCTGGACAGCAAAGCGGAGAAATGGGGCAAAGAAAAAGCATTCCAGAAGGACACTGGAGTCAAAAAGAAAAACCCAGAACGCACGAAAGGCAGGTGGGTCCCACGATTTTACCTGAAGTCAGCTACACTTTCCCCATTGGTCCCGCTCACTATTCAAAGTCCCAGGTTCTACACACTGAAATCTTCCTATCAAAACAGACATGTGTCACCATGTCAGCTTCTCACCTGGACATGAGGGCTGTGATTCAACAAATCCAGGTATGGAGCAAGCGCACAGGTGTCCGGCTCTGCGGAAAGGCATTCCTGCTTCCTAGGCCTCAGGTACACAGCTCTGGTGTTGACAGTGCACCAGGCCCACAGGAGGGCGCTGTAGCTGAAGATGCTGTCAATGGGCTCTACAAACAGAGGCTGCAGGGAAGAGAAAAAGTCTCTGGAGGAGGTGAAAAGCTTCTGCACGTGGGCTCGCTGCTCTTCAGTCTTTGCTTTTAACGCTTTGGGTAGAAGATTCACCACTTCTGGCTCCAAACAAACAGGGCAGGTGTAGGTCTTGGGTAAAATCTGCAAGTAAGGCTTCCAGAGAGACCGGTCCCCAGCATGCCTTTCTGACACTAAAAAGGTGCACAGAACCAGCAGAGGAGATGGACGAGGCTTCCACCTTGAAAAATTAAGGTCAGATTGAAGGAGTTACTCTAACTTGAAATATGGAATAAGCTAAGTACTTTGGTTTGCTGCAGGAAGAACTGTGCTCCAATGGTCGACAGGCCCTACCCTGACTTAACACCCCAAGAGCCGTCTCCTTCCTTAAGGCTCTTCTCCAAAGCACATCCTGGCCAGGGACCTCAAAAAGTCACATTTATGTGTCAGAAAAGCTGACTCTACAGATTCCAGGACTGTTTACAAGATTTTTTACATGTTTTTGAAAACAAAAATCAATAAAAAACCTCTTTGCTTCCAACTTTGTTCTCCTGTTTGAAAGCTTCTGCCATAAGCCCATTGGTTTCACCTGGATAAGGGTATAAAATACAGTGGGAAAAAAAAATGGTGGAAAAAAAAACCTAGACATATACCATCCAATATAGAGATCGCTAGGTATATATACCTGTTTATTTAGAATTAAATTAATATTTAAAATTCAGTTCCTTAGTATGGTAAGTCACATTTCAAGTACTCAAAAGCCATTTCTGCCAGTGGCTACCATTTTAGACAATGCAAAATAAAACACCTCTGTCATTGCCCAGCATTCTACAGGATGGCACTGAGTGAAATCATAATACACTCACTAAACTTACGTGCTTTGTTAGAAATTACATAATTTTCGTTAAATAATTACTGATAAAATATCTCATGTGGCATGAATGTGTTTAGAAAAAGTTATCATTAATCTTTTAATATCCAAATATCCAGATTCTTATACTGAGATGCATTCCACCTAAAACTAAAGAATGAATGAGAAAAGGTTAACCCTAAGGGCAACCTTGCCCCCCAGTCAGGCAATACAAAGATGCAAGGGCGGTGCCCAGAGCTGTCCTTGGGATTAAGCAACAGCACAACCTTTCAACCCATAATGTAGAAACTCCTTCCGCTGAGGTGCACCCAAACAAATGCCCGCCAAAAATGAGCCAGAATATACTCTCAGCTTTCTTAACTCCCACTTCACCTCCTCTCTATACCTAAAGAGAATTAATTCTTTCATAATATTAAAGCTCTTCATAGTTGAGGAAGAATTCAAGCACATAAAAATAAGGGTTAAACTAAAAGAAAGGGTTAACTAACCCCCGTGGATACCTACTATGACCAAGGGAACAACTGCTACCTATCAAGGCACTTGGCTGTGATTTACATATATGGTCCCACTTAACCTCCACTTTCTAGTTAGGTGATGGGTAAGGACTCACACCTGTGTCCCCTGCAGTCTATTATTAAAGACTTCAAAATGCAGTTTATATGCATGAAGAATAAATTTCTAGGACAGAATATACCTTTCAATTTGCATTCAATTGAGTTCAGATATTTATCTGCTAGATAAGCATCTGGATCCTACTGAATTCTGCCTTGGATAACACATTTGCCATGACAAAGGCATTCAGGAGAAGCACTGGCACCAGATCAACATGATGTGGCCACTTACTTAGTAATGTACACCCCTAAGTAGCTTCGAATCACTGTTTCCGTGGTGAGCAGGCAACTCTCAGGCAATGAAATAATCATCTGTCCCTCCTTGCCAAAAAGAAAATAAAGTTTAGGACACCAGTATTTTGGGATGGACTTGTACATATTGTGAAGTCACTAATCCCGCAATCATCTACCCAAAAGCCCCTACTACTCGCTACAAATAAGCCCAACAGCAGGCTCACTCCCAATTCCCTGAGTCAGCAGATGAGTCCGCTCGAACACTAGGTTCAACACCCACACAGAATTAAAAGTTCAGAATGGGAATGACTCCCACCTGTCAAACCGGCACAGGAAGGAAACATGGAAACACTTGAAACCATATAGTTCTTCTAATTTCTTATGTGAGGAACCAGTGATACCTGGGGGCACAGGCACAAACCACTCAAAAAAGTTCCATCCAACAAAGCCTGACACAGCAGCATGCTGCTTAGTTTCAATTATTCAGGAGGCAGAGACAGAAGGATCAACTGAGCCCAGGAGTCTGGCACCAGCCTGTGAAACATAATGAGACCCCTTTTTCTTAAAAAAAAAAAAAAAAAACTATCCAGTGAAATCCAAGTGAGCAAGCAATGGCCTAATCTCTGAGATCTGTGCCAGAGAAGGCAGCCCAGCACACAGATTCTCATTCTACCACTTGCAAAAGTATACATTGCAGTTTCTCTTACTAAGATACAACCACAGAGAGAAAAAATGAAGACAAAAAGTAACAAACAGGCACTGGACACTGGAGACACTGGTAGTGTACAACATTATGGAACCAGTAACAATCACCAAATAGAGCACTAAGAAGCAGATAGAAGAGCCTGCTTTCATTTTAACCAGCATCAGTAATTTAACCAGTCAGTAAATTATCTTAAAGCTCTTTGGGGTTCAATTTATGGTTTCTGAATCTATAAAGCAGGTGATCAGTGTAGACATCCCATGATCTTCTACTTTAAAAAATAAATAAATAAAACATCCTATATCTTGATTGGTAAATATCTCTTTAACAAATAAATTCTCCAGGCTATACAGTTAAGATCTGTGCATTTCACTATATGTAAAATGTCTCTACTTTCAAAAAGTTTAATTAAGAAGTCACAGTTGAAAGTACAAGTGAAGCAACTACCAATTATCGTTTAATAATTTCAACAAAAACTACTTATAGATACTGCTATATATATGAGAGGTCTATTTCTTCTACTCAAATTCTGCTTCAAATAAGTCAAGGCATAATTGACTTATTATGCCTTTCTGAAAATATACAAAATATTGCACAATAATGTGAATATACTTAACACTACTGAACTGTACATGAAAAATGGTCCAAATGACAAACTAAGTTTTATATATCTTACCACCATTAAAAATTGAAAACAAATAAAAAATATAAAAGCAGCACAATAGAATTACAACATCGAAAGGTATCATTTTCTTAGCTGAGTTTAAAACAAATTAAATAAAGGAATTAAAAATAAATTTAGGGTCGGGAGGTGTAGCTCAGGGGTTGAGGGAGGCTTTGCATATAAAAATACACAGCACCAAAAAAAAAAAAGTTTAGATAAACTTAAGGTAAAGGAAGCAATTAATTTCTAACTTTAAAGAAAAGTATGCATCACATAATGCTCTAAAATACCACAGAGAAAAACTAAAAGGGACCTAAAGATCATCTCCTTATTTACCAGGTAAGGAAACAGAAGCAGGAAGGACTGGAATCTCGTTGCCAATCCCAGAGTTGGCAGCAACCCCTGGATCTGGCCTTGTCCCCAACTTGCTCAGGCTCTCCTCCCGTACCACGAACAGCACCCCTCACAGATCTACAATATGACCTGATTTTTAAACCTTGATGTGGTGAAGCATTAGGAGAGGCCTACACCAAAATGACTTCTCTCTTTCTTCTCCTAACAAAGTCCCATTTAAAGAAAAGGCAGCAGGTTTTTCCCTCCCAAGTAGCCGCCAGTCGGAGCAACAGAACACTAGCCAATGGGGGCGGGGCACTGGGAGCATCCTTCCAGGGAGGATCCCTGCACTGCCTTTCCCCCTTGCTCCCTCCTTGTGCTCCAGGAGCCTAGACAGGCTTAGGGAGGGACAGAGAGCTAGGAGGAGTCTGAGCCTCTGAAGGCCACAGGCCTGGCCCCTCTAGGCTTTATTAAATGACAGCTTACACTTCTGCACTGTTTTTAAGCACTGAGACACTTGGTTTTGTCTTTTATATGAAGCAAACTTAACCCTTCCTGACAGAATCGTAAGAGAAATAGTTAAAAGTAAAGTACTTTTGATTCACTTGATTTGAACCACAAAAACAAAGCACCAAAATCTGTGTTAGGTTTCAAGGACAAAAGAGAAGTTCTCACTCGCAGGGGTGTTCTGCTCATCAGCCCTCTTCCTGTACCTAGGAAAGCAAACATGGAAAAGAGGTGAATATCTTCAATTGTATCTTCAAGGTCCTAGAGAGCCCATTTTGAAAGAAAAATGTAAATGAGTTTCAAAATTACAAAAGGCTGAAGATGGGTGTCCTTAGCCCTCCACTCCCAAGGGAGAGGAGGTCAGGAAGCTATTCTAGAAAACATCATGAACTCCTTATGATATTATAATCAATCTGACAGAGTGGCTTTCACAGATCATTCTTTGACTCACAAAAACAGAAAATTAAACATTCTGTTAGAGCTAGGAGAAACCCTGATACAAAACAACTAGGTCAAAGTTGTCAGAACCAAAATGGAGTTAACTTGTGCCGTGAAGGAAGGGTCCTCACACTTGATTGCCTGACAATACCAACTGTCACAAAAGATTCTGCCACAACCACAACCTCAAACAAAAATACTTCTGTGAGGATAACTGCCAGCAATTGTCTGTTCAACCTTGGAATGATGCCACCCTTGTTATTGATCCTTACAGCCAACAAAAATTGTTCACTTATCTTACCCAAACCTTCTCATTCACCTTTAAAAACCCTTATCTTCCTCTGCCTCCCTGGACATGCCAGTAGTTCACTATGGCCTGCCATTCCTGTTTACACTGTTTTGGAGCCCCTCTCTGTTGTTATTAACTCAAATCAAGCAATTTAGTCCAAACTCACCACATGTGGCTGATTCTTGGGGAACAACATATCATTTCACTTGGCCAGAGGCACACACGGAAATCATCTATCTTGGGAGACACAGAGGAACTTATTTTGCTCAAAGTCAAATTAAAACTGAATGATAATGTTAATGGCCAGAGGAAGCATTCAGTAACATATACTTTTACATTTTCTATAAGGTAAAATGTCTGTATCCTGCCCTGTGATATAGAATTTCAGGGCCCTTCTATCACACAACTCCTTCTCTCTGCTGTGGCAGACCCCAAGTCCCTTTGAAGGGCATCCTGGTGTATTCTACCATTATTTCTAGCCCACCCATGGGCACACCAGGGTATCCTTGTATGCAGGTATGCACTAATAGCAAGCTATCCAACTTCTGTGACAGAATGTTCCAGAAGAAAATTACAACCTAACCTCCACAATGAGCTCTTCAATTCCCATATCAGAGGTTAAAATGCCTCAGCTCAGGTGACTGTGCAGCCTTTAGCACTGATCAATTGGCCATTCACCAGCTCCTCCTCCAAGACACTGAACTGCACACCTGACACTAAGCTGAGGGACAATATAGACTGAGGCCCCTCCCTTGCCTACAGAAAACTATGCCAACTCACTGGGGCCAGGGATAATCCCATTAGCCTGCATGCTTGAAAAAATCCCAGGAAACCACCACAGGCAAGGTGACCAGCACATGGGTCACCCAGTATCTTTCCTATGATGCCTAGCTAGGCATTCCCTGCAGGTTGGGGTCCAGGACACCTGCACTTCCACTGAACAGACAACTAGATTTAGTGCACAGGAGACCCAGAGTCACGGTACTGGTCCTGTCAATACCAGAGAACCTGGCTCAGTTGAATTTGTAGCTCCCCTCCCACAGGTGTGTAATATATCATAATTGTGTCTTTTATGTCCTTGTCCATGACTTCATCTTATTTTTATATTCTCATTCTCCTTTTCCTTTTGATTTCATCATTCTGTCATTTCCCTTCATCTACCACGTTCATTTATCTTTACAACAAGTTGAAGCACAAAGAGTGTAGACAAGTCAAGAAGCCCACCACCCAGCAACAGATGTACTGTCAGAGAGTGCTCCACCCACTCCCATCTGAGAGAGGTCAGCAGAGCTGAAGCACAACTCTTACCTGGAAAACGAGCAGGAGTTAAGTTCCTATCTTCAAACTTCCTGTTTTTCAGCCACTTCTTTAGCTCTATAAATTCAGACTTGTAGCTCTCATTCACTGGTTGAGAGAGGAAAAAACATGCTCGTTTAAATTACTGTATACTAAGAACACCTATAATCAAGAATATCAGACGGACTGATCATAAAAGGTTTAACATCAACTAAAACAGAAAGACCATTCACTATATGATCATCTCCATAGATGCATAAAAGCATTTCACCAAGTCCAACATCCATCCTGATAAAAATTCTAAGCAAACTAACACAAGGAAACTTCCTCAGCCCAGGAAATAATATCTAACACGGACACAATGGTGACAAACTCAGTGCTTTCAAGACCAAGAGAAGCGTATCTCACCTCTCCCTTTTCATCAACACCAGTACACATGGCAAGAAAAACAAACCGAAGGAATGAAACAGGAAAAAAGTAGTAAACCTGTCCTTATTCTCAGAAGACACGAGTACCCATAGAGAAAATCTAAGGGGAGTCTACCAAAAAGCAACCAACTAGCCAGGCATGGTAGCACACACCCGAAATCCCAGCTACTACTGAGGCTGAGACGGGAGGATTGCAAGTTTGAGGCCATCCTAGGCAATACAAAGAGAAACAACCTCAAAACTATGAAATATAATAAAATACAAATACCAAAATATTATGTTGCAGAATATCAAATCAATTTATAAAAATTCAATGGTATCTCTACATATGAGCAATAAACAAAAAATAATATTAAAAATATCATATGAAATAGCATCAAAAAAATATAAAATTCAAGAACCTAAAAAACAGATAAATCTAAAAAAATGTAGACCTGCACATTAAGAACTTCAAAATATTACAATTAAAAATATATAAATAGACTCTTACAAATTGAATATTACTGCCCTCCCAAAATGAGTATGTTAAACAGTCATCGTATTTGAAGATGGAGCCTTAGGGAGTTCAGGTTATGAGGTCAGGAAGTCGTGAGGGTGGGGCCTTTACCAAGGGATCCCTGCTCTTACAAGAAGCAAAGAAAGAGGACTGAGGGTGTAGCTCAGTGGCAGAGTGCGTTTACCATGTGTGAGGCTATGGGTTCCATCTCCCAACACCAAAAAGGAGGGCGAGAGATGGTCTGCCATGTGCAGACAGTGGTGATGCAGATGGTCACCAGCCAGGAAGACAGCACTCACCAGGAACCAAATCAGCAACACCTTCACCTGAGGTTTCCCAGCCTCTACTACTAAGATATAAATTTATATTGCTGAAGCCCATTCTATGGTATGTTGTTATGGTAACCCAAGCTGATAAAGACCAAGAATGAAATAGATTCTAATCAAATTAAGACACATATGGTACTCCCTAGAACTATAACTAAGGAAATAATCCAGAACAACATAATGAAAAGACAATAAAGAAATTAAAACAGTTCATTAGAAAATGCTGATTTCATACAAAAGAAAACAGTATAGAAGAACAGGAACAAAAGCAAAGATAGGAGACACACAGAAAACAAAATGCAAAATGGCAAATGTAAATCCACATCTATCAATAACATCAAATGTCAGTGGATTAGGAAATTTGGGGAAAAGCAGAGTTTGGTAGGCTAGATAAAAACAAGATCCAAGTATATCCTGTCAACAGAGACACTTCAGATAATGCAAGTAAAGGATAGAAAGCCCCAGCGGATGCACAGCACCTAGGGAGCAGAAGTGACTACTCCAACAAAAGACCAGAAAGACTTTCAAGCAAAAGTCAGTAGAGAGAGACATTTATAACAATGAAGGGGTTCATCCATCAGGAAGATATAATAATTACACACAGATAGAAACCAAACAACAGAGCCCCAAATATTGAAGCAAAAACTGGGAACAGTTGACAATTCTACAATAATCACTACAGACTTGAAGACCCCGCTCTCAATAATGGGTAGTTAAGCAGAGATTCAACAAGGAAGCAGAGAGAGCACAAGGACCCAGCAGAATGGAAGGAGACGGCTAAACACGTTACCCACAGCAGCAGAAAGTGCATTTCTCTTAAATGCACAAGAAGCATTCAGGATAGACCACATTACAGACCAACAAATGTTGGCAAGAACATGGAAAACTGGGACTCTCACAAACTGCTATGGGAGTATAGAACATACAATCACTTGAGAAACTCGCCCAAGCTTCAGTTTCTTACAAGTTAGACACACATTTGCCACACGATCCACCACTCCCGCCTATGTAGTTATTCAAGGAAACAAAGGCGTAAGTCCACGCAAAGACTTGTACATAAGTGTTCGCAGCAGCTTCACTTGCAATGGCCCAAAACACAAATGACTCTAATGCCCAGTTTGAGGGAAGCAAAACTTGAGCTCTACAGAAAGGGTCTGGGGGTCTGCAATTACTCTGGCAAAAGACATACTACCAAGAAAATAAAGACAGAATTTTATTCACCTGTACACACAGATATTCACAGAAAAATGCAACTCAAGGAGGTGGTTAAATTGTGGGGCTTCTGTACCATCTCATTAGGGTACTTTGGTGGGGGAGAAGGCACTTACGGGGAAATGAATGGCCTTAGAAAGACACAGGCCCTCAGAAGAGATGAGAACTATGATAGTCTTGTGATAATACTTATTAAGGTGACTTCTTATCCCAGTGCCAGGTTCTTATCTCTAATGATAGGAATCAATCTTCTCAACTTCCAAAACTTCTGGGCAGAATCATGACCAGTGAACACCACTCAGAGGCTTTGATTTTAAACAACAAGTGAGTGAACTCAAGGAAGAAAGGAAAACTTACACATATACAATATATTATACATCCTTCCATCATCAACAGGATGAACAAACAATAAAGGCATTCAACAATAAAAGAGAATGAACAAATACAAATAATAATGTGGAATTATTTCAAAATTAAATAAAATAAACCACATTTTTAAGAACAGGACACACTGTGTGATTCTAGTTACACACAACTCTATAAAATGCAAACTAATCCATTGTGACAGCAAGTATTTAAGAAGCTACTCAAGGTGTTGTGTACAGAGGTTTCAGCCAGGGATGGTAGGAAGTGATTATTAAAAAAAAAATGGAGGGCCGGGGTTGTAGCTCAGTGGTAGAGCGTTTGCCTCGCATACATGAGGCACTGGGTTTCATCCTCAGCACCACATAAATAAAGGTATTATGTCCATCTACAGCTAAGAATATTTTTTTAAAAAATGGAAATTTTATAGCATAATGACTTCATTTACGATACACATACCAAATTATATACTTTAATTATACAAAATTCATTATGAGAATTATACCTCAGTAAAATCTTTTTTAAAAATGCACAGGCATGGTTGGGGTTGTAGCTCAGTGGTAGAGCGCCTGCCTCGCATGTGTGAGGAACAGGTTCGATCCTCAGCACCACATAAAAATAAATAAAGATTATGTCCAACTACAACTAAAAAAAAAAAATGCAAAGGCATAAGCCTTCCAACGTACGTAATCAACAAACAGGGAAATAGATCTTGTGGTAAGAGCAATAAATTAACAAGCATAATCATTTTTTATGTGTTTATTTTGAAATGTGGTAGCACTGTGTTGCCTAAGTTGGCACTGAGCTCCTGGGCTCAAGTGGTTACCCACTCAGCCTCCCAACAGCTAGAACTATAGGTACCCACCAGTATGTCAGGTTAAATGAGAATTTTTTTTTTTTTTAAGTTACAGTTGGACACAATACCTTTATTTTATTTATTTTTATGTGGTGCTGAGGATCGAACCCAGAGCCTCGCACTTGCTAGAAGAGCGCTCTACCGCTGAGCCACAACCCAGCCTTTAAATGAGAATTTAATGAGCAACTTTACACACATAAATACACACAGATAAAGACACAGCTTTATGGTAGCCTCTATGAAAAAACATACACTATATTGCTGACCCTCAAAAACTAGTCCGGTTTGGAAACAAGAGTTTCATGAGAAAGCTTGGAAAAATATTAGATCCTCAAAGAAGAGTACACCTAATAAGGATGATTGCAAAGACTAATGTCAATGACTAGTAGAAAGAGCATTTTCAAAAATATAGGACCTCAGCTCAGTTCTGAGCACAGGAGAGAAGGCAAATAAGCTGGGAGAAGGAAAGGAGACGTTCTAGGCTAAGGAGAACTACGGAGATTGGCAGAGCTGGAAGTGTTCAGAAGAGGTGACGTATTTCCAGGATATCGAGCGGCCAAACTGGAGCTCCACTGGTGAGAGACACGAGTGCCAGGCAGGAGGTGAGATCTCACACAAAAGGCATGAGGATCCCATGACACACCTAACCAAACAGGCAACACAGACACAATCCCTCAGGAAAGCTGCACCAACAGTGACAAGTAGACAGCAAAAGAGGATGGAGGCAAAGGAGCAGCGGAAATCATCCCAGAGGGCAAAGGTAGAATGGGAACAAAGCTAAGAGAGATTTAGTTGGCCACAGGCTATGGAGGGCCAAGAAGCTTGAGGAGGCAGCGATTGCCTCAAAATGGTGCTGACACGCTTGGGGTCAACTAGGAAGAGTGTAACTAATTTTATACAGATACGATTTACATTTAAACAGCACTTTTAAGTTGTCCAAGCACTTTCACATACTGTATCTCCTTCAGGCTGGTTACATAGATTGGGAGTGATGAATTTACACCCCGACTTTTATACCCTACACATAACTAAGGTCACGGCAAGCCACAGATCCTGGATCATCCCAGAGAAAACTACTGAAGCAATAACTGAAATATATTCATATACTCCCCAGGGCTGGAAAGAATACAAGAGCACCACTTAAAAAAAATGCTCTTTAAGAAACATTACTTTGGAACAATATCTATCTACATGGCTTTATGTATATCACTGGATGCTAGACAAAAAGGAGTTCTGTTTTACTAATAAAAAAACAAAACCATACCTCCTCTTGATTCAGAACTTCTGAGGTGTTTTCGCCTCCTGATCCGGCTTGTTCTCCCTCTACCCTTCTGCATACTAAACTGGAGTTTCTGTGTAGGTGCCAGCCTAAAATACAAAGCAGATCTTTGTCTTACTTTCCAGCTGGATGACAGTCACCATCCTTGCACTGCTAAATATGCAAACATACATTTGGGTAAGCTGTTTCTCTAATGCGCTTTTTGTTCAGGAAATGTTTGTGCGATGAGCTAAATCAAGAGCTCTTCCATAAAGGAGACCCCATCATATGGGTCCCTCTGAAACAGTTTCAGCTTGAAGCCTTAATGAATGTTTATTAATGACAGAAAACTTCATAACTGATTTATTTATTTATTTATTTATTTTGGTATTGAGGACTAAAGCCCTTTTTTGTATTTCATTAAGGCAGAGTCTCAATAAGTTATTTAGCATCTTAACTGTTGCTGAGGCTGGCTCTGAACTAGAGATCCTCCTGCCCCAGCCTCTGGAGACACTGGGATTACAGGTGTGTGCCACCATGCCTGGCTCATAAACAGGTGCTTTGGTGACCTGTAAGATCTCTATTGTTTTCTTACAACTGCTTATATTTTATCATTACCCCATTAAAAATTTCCATTGGAAAATCACCTTGAAAGGGCAACATAATTAGAATCAGCTCTGTGCAAAAGACTTTCCCGCAATGATGCAAATACCTTATTTCTGGACTGCCCAATACAGTGGTCCCTGACACATGGGAATCTTGAGTACTTCGAATGTGGCTACTGAAACTGAAAACAGATTTTTTTTTTTTTTCCTGGTACAGGGATTGAACCCAGGAGAACTTGACTACTGAGTCACATCCCAGCTCCATTTTGTATTTTATTTAGAGACAGAATCTGAGTTGCTTAGCTCCTCTCTATTGGTGAGGCTGGCTTTGAACTCCTATGATCCTCCTGCCTCAGCCTGCAGAGATGCTGGGATTACACCGTGTGCCACGGTGGGTCATAACTGATTTTATAAACGAGTGCTTTGGTGACTTGCACAATCACAGTCGTAACCAACATTTACTAAAACACCAATTTGAATTAACCATATTTAGAACACGCAGAGCTGTGAAATTCCTGTTCCATTAAAACTCTTCGACAAATCAAAAAATTCGCTTTCAGTGGCACGGTCCTGTAATCCCAGACAATGAGAGGACAGCCTCACCAACTGGACCCCCATCTTAAAATTTAAAATAATAACAATAAAAAGCGCTGGGGGTGTAGCTCCATGGTAAAAAATCCCTAGGCTCAATACCCAATACCAAAAAAAAAAAAAAACAAAAAAAAATGTAAAGTAAAAAATGCTGTTTGTCTTAGCTATCACAGTCTTGGAATAAACATCTTTAAACAGGTGTTTGCAATAGATTAGGGAGAAAACACAAGTCAAAAAAGCAGACAAGCCAAGGTGGCAAGATGAAGAGTGGCTACTAGAATTTCTACAAGCTGCTTCCGTACGAGCAGCGCTCCGCGCTCCGCAGGGCTTTCCTCCAGGGCTCGGGGTGGCTCGAAGGCTCCCTGCGTTGGGCGGGCCACGACCGCAGCGCTGCCCTCACCCGCGACGCCGGGCCACCCTCCGGTCCCCGACGCGCTCCATCACGCCCGCCGCCGGCTGGGGACACCCACCGCCTGCGCCCGAGCCGCACGCCCAAGGGAACAGACCGCGCGTGCGCACGGCTGGGACGGGCGGCGGCCACGCACGCGCGTCTCCGCCTACGCCCAACTCAAGAGAGACCCTCCTGCAAGCCCTAGCCGCCGCCATCCGGGCAACGCGCGGCTCTGACCGGAAGTCCCCCGGCTCACCCGCAAGCTCGCCACGGCCTCTGACAGTGCACGGGCCGAGGGCGGCCCAACCCTCACAGTCAGAGGCTGAGAGCCACCACGCCCGCCTCCGGCCCTTGACCGCCCAGACGTCAGTCACTCGCGGAGCCCCGCCCCTTCCCGTCGCCAGTGTCGCGCATGCGCAGCTGCCATGACTCGCAGGCTGCGCCCAACCTTGACCCCTGGGTCGGCGCCCTAGGTCGCGCAGGTGGCCACGGCCCTCGGAGGAGCCTAGCTGCCCAGGCTTGCCGTGTGCTCCACTAGGACGCAGCCCATAGGGCGCCCCTGGCCGACCGCAGGCCCTACCGGGCTGGCGCTACCTGCTCCCCACCCCGCTCCACTCCTCCCTTCCCACGGCGGGGACACAGTCTCGCCCCTTCTCCCCACCTGTCCCTCCCCCGCTCTCTGCCCAGCTCCAGACCCGCCTTGCAGGAGGATTCCAAATAATCCACGTCGATACCAGTTCCAGGAGACGGAGCTCCATTTCTACCCACCACCTTGAATGTGGGCTGTGCTTAGTAAACGGATTCCTGGAAGTACAACGTGGAAGAGGGGCTGGGTGGGAACTAACCTGGCAAATACCGCCTTGGCCAGCTGGTCAAGGCGACAGCATCCGGAATAAGTCACATAGACAGCATTTTCCTCCTGTATTCCTCCCCAAACCCATAACTCGCGTTCTTCCTTGAAAAAAAAGAAAAAAGAAACAACCCCAGGATTCCTAAAATATCTTTTCTGTCATGAAAACCAACTCTGACAAGCCGTCATAAACGAAAGAACCCCAGCGAGACATGACCATTAAATGCAGTGTGGTATCCTGGAGGGGATCCTGGAATAGAAAAGGGATATTGGGAGGAAAACAAGTGAAATCCAATAAGGTGTGGAGCTTAGTTATTGCAGCTGCTTCAGTATTGGTTTCTTGTGACAAAAATACTACAGTGTTAGGTAATATAGACATGAGCAAGGTCACTGGAAGGGACAGGGAAGATAAGCAGACCAAAGAGAGGGATCCCAAAATCTGCTATCAGAAAGGCTATAACCAGTTGTGGTCAGAATTATTGGGACTCTTGGCAAACAGCACACCCACGCTGTCAAACAGGTCTCGGGCATGCTCCCTAAACTGCAATATGTTCAAGATAACCCTAAACAAATTACCAAATAGCATTCTAATATAATTAGCATTGCAATCCCCTTCTTGCCACTGTATACCTATTGTAAACCTAAGAAAACTCTATGGCAATGTAACATGGAAAATTGACAAATAGGATGGTGGGAACAAAGGGTTAAGAGAATATAAAATGAGCCTACTTTGCCAAAAAGCAATCTACCTGCTGCAGCCTTGCCTATCCTGAGGGGTCAGGAAATGTCACATTCCTCAACAAGCAGAGGCAGGGGGCCAAAAGCCTGGCAGTCAGTGTAGATAATGAATGATGGGGGTTGAGGAGATGAAGACTGGTTATCACTGGGTTTCTAACAGCTAACCTCCTGGACAGCACTTCCCAACACAAGGCATTACCTTCTGTGCTCCTCCTTCCTGTCCTTAGGTGCATGGAGAAGAGAAGGTGGTGGAATTCTAGGGGTCTATAAAAGAGCAAGATACATCCACTCCCACTGGCACCCAGCTTTGGGCCCCATTTTCTCCTCCGAAGTCTGCTACCTTTGTCCCTCTCTTAAATAAAACTTGCTTTCTGCCTGTGGTTTCTTGGGTGTTTAATCTGCAACAGTCGGGGTGGAGGTAGGGGTGTGGCTACCAGTTCCTGATCTCCAAGACCTTATCAGTATCACAGTGTTTGATTCAGGAATTTATACTTTGTACATCTCATTTTACCACATGCAGGAAGGTTGCTGAGGGGGTACACTCCTGATTTAAGGGATATACATTTCAGTAGAACAGGGGGAGAATTCATAACACAAAGCTCTTTTTAGTACATTTTTGAAGGAAGTGTGGTCACGGACCTAATGTCAAATTTTGTCTAGAATAAATAGTTTTTTTGCAGCTTGAACATTTCAGGAAGGTGCTTAAAGGTGGGGTGGGGAACTAGGCTCCTCCCTGGGACAGAGCCTTGAGCTGTTAGACACTTTGTTAGTGTTTAAGTTGTTTGAGGTGGGGGCTCAGGTGGACTTTCTAACAGTGGTCCCTTCACCTTCTGAATATAGCCCTCATTGCTCTAAGGCTTATTAAAAAAAAAAAAAAGTTTTTTCTCTCTTCTCCCCTCTTCCCCTCCCTAATAAGATTAGGGGGACAGGATTATATTTTCTTCTGCTAGTTGTGTTGCCCTTGAACATACCCACTTCAGGAAGGAGATGCCTGCTGAGGATCTGGGAAATGAATATCTCCTAAATTAACAAATTAATCCTAATACCCATCAGGGCACCCTGGGACTCCTTACCAGAACACACCTGGAAAGTAACCCTTGAATTTCCTTTAAAACTAACTCCCTGTCCCTCCTGATCTGGAGAGTCACAGCCTTTGGGATAGTCCCCTGTGTTTCTCCTTTGCTAGTAAAGCAATAAACATTTACCTTTTTCTCAAAACCATGACCTCATTATTAAATTGACATTGATTGGCACTGGGGACAGAGACCAACCTTTGCTCAGTTACAGAGTTTCCTGGGGCAGCATATGAGCTCCTTGCCTGTCAATCACTTGCCAATGATGTGGCATAGGGACAGGGGAGGAACCAAACTCAAACCAGATTGAACAGGAAAACAGACAACCCAAATCCAGGGCTTCCTGCTCTCTTGAGACAGATCAATCACTCCATGTTCTCTGGACCGTACTTTTGTATTGTAAGATAAAACTGTTGTGCTTATTTACTCTATGTGCTCTGTGTCTCCTGACTGAAATCCATGGTGGATCTCCTCCCTGAGCCAACATACTCTGCTCTGAGAGTATATTCTTAACTTTTTTAATAAACTTTGCTATACTTTTGCTTTTTTTTTTTTTTTTGTACTGGGGTTAGAACCCAGGGGTACTTTACCACTGAGCTATATATCCCCAGCCCTTTCCACTTTTTGTTTTGTGACAGTATCCCACTAAGTTGCTGACTCTGGCTTTGAATTGCGATCCTCCTGCCTCATTCAGCCTCCTGAGTACCCAGCTATTTTTGCTACTTTTCAAGTCTTGCCTTAAGTCTTCTCTGGTGGGAACACATAACAGAGGAATAAAACTGGATTACCAGTAACAATAGTGGTAAGATGTTAATAGAAGAAACCGAGTTAGAGGTATACTTTAATTCTCTGTATTACACTTGCAATTTTACTCTACATTAAACAATTATAAACTTAAAACTTAAAAAAAAAAGATGTGTGGGCTAGAAATAGATGTTTCCAAGCATGGAACTGTTAAAATAAACTGATAAAGTTTTTAAGGAACTAACTTTATTTGAGCAGAGATTCATGAGTGGGGCAGGATGCAACTGGAATTCCTTTTGATCTCCACTTGGAAAGAGTACCAGGAGGCAGCTTTTATAGGGTGAACGTGAAAATGTAATGCCAGATTCGTGGGTCCCCAATAGACCTCCAGGAGCCGAATCTGATGCAATCATACAAGAGTCTTTATTGCAAGCTTGAGCCTGGAGTCACAACCATTTCCGATGCAGTTGTCCCGAGGAGTGAGTCCCGGTCTTCTGTCCAGTGAGATTTTATAGGTTTTGGGGGGAATACTCTATGCGTCACAATATCACACAGCAAATCATTCCATACCGCAGGAAAATCAAACAACAACTCTTAACGTTGATTAACACATTCACTGGCGGGAACAAGTTGGGTAGGGGTGATTGGTTAGTACAAGAGGGGGATTCCTTTGAACTGATTGGTTTAGGCCATGAGGGGTGTACGTGCTAAACTACATGGTTTCCCAACATGTTATCAACCACCATAAACTACTGAGGGGGTCATCTGGCATCCCCGGTATTTTCCCTGTCTCATGCTGATTGGTGGTTGCTAGGTGGGTTGCTATGGGTCCTCACCTAGCCTAACCAAGTCAGGAACACCTGGTGCTGCAGATCTCTCCTGTTATTTACAGACAAACAACTCAGCAGGGTGGGTATCTGCCTAGAAAGGCTCTGTGGGTTTTTCTAAGGACAAGGGTCATGCCCCCTTCCTTAAGACAGGCCTTGAGGTAGAAGCTGCTGTTACTTATTTATTTTCAAAAATGGAGTCACATCAGTTTCTCAAAGCAAAGCAACAAAATTGAATTTTAACCACAAAAAGCCTTATTTGAACTATTTCCATAAGAAGTTCAAGGAAATACAACTAAAGCCCAGTTGACTGCCTGTCATTGGCTAGCCTGAGTTTCATTCTCTTTTGAAGTGTGTGTGTGTGTGTGTGTGGCGCCCACACGCATGCACATGTTTTGCTGGTAATCTCCCCAGTAGCTTGCACATGCTCTTATTAACCACTAGCCAATGTCCAGTCCTCATGTTCTTTTACATCTCAGTCAGATTTGGGTTTACATAGGAATCTAGGGCATTAGAACTATTTCAATCTAATGGTCTTTCATTTCTTTTCTTTGTTAGTTGGTTGGCCCACTTAATTACTGTATTTAACAGATTGAGACTTGGTGATGTCTTTAAAGTTCAACCCTTTTTCTAGCTTTCCATATTACCATCCCTGATGTAATTGGCTATTCAATACACTTTTTGGTTTGTTCTCTCATGATCTCAAGGTAATTGCCACAGCTCTGGGTATCACATACACCTGCCCTCTAGACATCAAGAAAAGCAACATTGAGCCAGGCGCAGTAGCGCACAACTGTAATCCCAGGGGCTCAGGAGGCTGAGATAGGAGGATCATGAGATCAAAGCCAACCTTAGCAAAAAGCAAGGCACTAAACAACTCAGTGAGACCCTGTCTCTAAATAAAATACAAAATAGGATTGGGGATTTGGCTCAGTGGTCGAGTACCTCTGAGTTCAATCCTCAGTACCAAAACAAAAAAGAAAAGCAGCATTTAAATAAGACCTTTCTTGTTATGAAGGTCAAAAATAAAGTATGATCCCACTTGCTACATAGGAACTGATAAAGGTTCTCTCCCCGACAGAACTATAGCCAAATTCCTGAGTTAAAACTTTGTTCTATGAAAACTACAGACCCTCAGCACAAACAATTTTGTCCATCTATGTCCCCACCTCAAACAACTTAAACAGTAACATAGTTTCTTTTTTTTTTAAAGAGAGAGAGAATTTTTTAATATTTATTTTTCAGTTTTCAGTGGACACAACATCTTTATTTTATTTGTATGTGGTGCTGAGGATCAAACCCAGCGCCCCGCACATGCCAGGTGAGCGTGCTACTGCTTGAGCCACATCCCCAGCCCCTAACATAGTTTCTAACAGCTCAAGACTCTATCCCAAGGATAAGCCTAGCCCCCATCCCTTTAAGCACCTTCTTGATAATGTTCAAAGCTGCAAAAATATTTACTATTGATTCTAGACAACACTTGACATTAGGCCCCTGACCACCCTTAAAGAATGTACTAAAAAGGGGCTGGGGTTGTGGCTCAGTGGTAGAGCACTCGCCTAGCACGTGCGAGGCCCTGGGTTCGATCCTCAGCACCACATAAAAATAAATAATTAAAATAAAGATATTGTGTCCAATTAAAAAATAAAATATTAAAAAAAAAGAATGTACTAAAAAGACCTTAGTACTATGAATTCTTCTCCTGTTCCTCTGAGATATATCTCCCGCAAGGCAGGAGTGTACTCCTCAGCAACCATGCTGCGTGTGGTTTAAATGAGATGATCAAAGTGTAAGTCCATGAATCAAACACATATTGCCATAGAGAAGTTTTCTAGTTTTACAATACTTAAGGAGGGGGAGTGGGGACAATGTGAACAAACCTTAC